GTATACACAAATACAGTTGATAAATTAGACACATGTGCAACTCTTGGGTATCTTTGTTGAGGAAACGTTTCGCCACACAGTGGCTTCATCAGTCCATACGTAGGAGAAACTTGAAGAACAGGAGGAGAATGAGGTAATCAGTCCCTCAACCTTGAGTCGATGTGTTCAGTCCATCAATCTTGAGTAGATGGACTGATTGATGGACTGACCACATCGGCTCAAGGTTGAGGGACTGATTACCTCATTCTCCTCCTGTTCTTCAAGTTTCTCCTATGTATGGACTGATGAAGCCACTGTGTGGCGAAACGTTTCCTCAATAAAGATACCCAAGAGTTGCACATGTGTCTAATTTATCAACATGTCGGTTCTCTGAACCATTCATCTACAAACAAATACAGTTACATAGAATTATCATACATAGCAGCATATGTGTAGAGAACCTGGGATAACACAAAAAAGTCAGACAGAGTGACTTATTTCCATTTAGCTGCAATCTCTAATAACAGATCAGTCCTCTAGAAGGTGCAAAATTTAGATAAAATCTCAAAATTTCGGATATCTTATCACTAACTAGGAATTTTTTTTGCCATATCCCGTGAATGTGTAGGTGCCATTTTATCAGATTTTAATTACGAAATGGTATGGTATAATTTTTCATTCGATAACTGAAGAGAAATCGGGTTCGAGGGCGCTGTGTGGTAAGAATATTATTCAGAAAATTAGAAACTTGGAGATTAGAAGAGAGGATAGATTTACAAAAAGTATTATTCAGAGATCAGAGGAGGCATTATTGAGGTAGTCTGGACATTTAATGAGTGATTAAAATGGGATGGCCAGGAGCGTGGACAAATCAGAGGTAAAGGGAAGGAGGGATGTCATGCCAGGAATGGTTCAAGAGAAGAAGGTACAACTATTATGTTAGGAATGACTGAAGGGAATAAGGGACAACTGTCATGCCAGGAATGACTGAAGGGAAGGAGGAACAACTGTCATGCCAGGAATGATTGAAGGGAAGGAGGGACAACTGTCATGCCAGCAATGACTGAAGGGAAGGAGAGACAACTGTCATGCCTGCAATGACTGAAGGGAAGGAGAGACAACTGTTATGCCAGCAATGACTGAAGGGAAGGAGAGATAACTGTCATGCCTGCAATGACTGAAGGGAAGGAGAGACAACTGTTTTGCCAGCAATGACTGAAGGGAAGGAGAGACAACTGTCATGCCTGCAATGACTGAAGGGAAGGAGAGACAACTGTTATGCCAGCAATGACTGAAGGGAAGGAGCTATCATGCCAGCAATGACTGAAAGGAAGGAGTAAGGAAGGTTTTGAGCGCTAGGGGCTTGAACACTCAACAGGCACGAAGAAGCACATAACACAGCAGTGTAAACAAACGATTTTTATGACTTGAAGTGTGGGAGTGCAGAGTAACATTTGGTGTTGTTGTAGCTTCATATGGAGGATTTGGTGTTGTTGTAGCAACATAAGGAGGACCAACGATATATTGAAAATTAAAAAAAATACTTGAGAAAGAGAGAGAGAGAGAGAGAGAGAGAGTAATCATACGCTTCATTGTGTGAACATGGATGATTTACGATGGTTTGGACACACGTGCGTAAGAATGAACCGGCGTATCATCTCTCTGTAATAACAGAACACAGAGTAATGTATCTCTTGACGAGGTCATGCATCATATAGATCAAAGTGAACACGGACACAACGTACGGACAAGTGAACATGGTCACATCAACGTACGGACAAGTGAACATGGTCACATCAACGTACAGACAAGTGAACATGGACACATCAACGTACGGACAAGTGGACATGGACACATCAGCGTACAGGCAAGTGAACATGGTCACATCAACGTACAGGCAAGTGAACATGGTCACATCAATGTACGAACAAGTGAACATGGTCACATCAACGTACAGGCAAGTGAACATGGTCACATCAACGTACAGGCAAGTGAACATGGTCACATCAACGTACAGGCAAGTGAACATGGTCACATCAATGTACGAACAAGTGAACATGGTCACATCAACGTACGGACAAGTGAACATGGACACATCAACGTACAGACAAGTGAACATGGACACATCAACGTACAGGCAAGTGAACATGGTCACATCAACGTACGGACAAGTGAACATGGTCACATCAACGTACGGACAAGTGAACATGGTCACATCAATGTACGAACAAGTGAACATGGTCACATCAACGTACGGACAAGTGAACATGGACACATCAACGTACAGACAAGTGAACATGGTCACATCAACGTACAGACAAGTGAACATGGTCACATCAACGTACGGACAAGTGAACATGGACACATCAATGTACAGGCAAGTTAACATGGTCACATCAACGTACGGACAAGTGAACATGGTCACATCAACGTACAGACAAGTGAACATGGTCACATCAACGTACAGACAAGTGAACATGGTCACATCAACGTACGGACAAGTGAACATGGTCACATCAACGTACAGACAAGTTAACATGGTCACATCAACGTACAGACAAGTGAACATGGTCACATCAACGTACAGACAAGTGAACATGGTCACATCAACGTACAGACAAGTGAACATGGTCACATCAACGTACAGACAAGTGAACATGGTCACATCAACGTACAGACAAGTGAAGGTGTACGTGATTGAACGTTTCTACACTTGAACGTTAGTCATTCTTTTCTAAATTTATCAATAACTTTTAAAGCTTTTTCTTGAGCGAAACGTCGTTGTGGTAACCCTTACTTTTTTTCCAGTTTCGTTTCAGGTGACTTGAGCGAAACATGACGTGTAAAGCTCCATACAGAGCTCACCACAACGTATTAAGCTCTACAAAGCGCGAAATGACTTGTTAAAGCTCTATTTGGAACGAAACGTAACTCGGTAAAGCTCTACTCTATCCAGAGCGAAACATTACTTGATAATTCTTGACATGGGTGAAACATCGACCTAATAATTACCTTTTTTTACCCTTTGTTTCAGTTTCAAATTCTAGCTCTTGTCCCTTTCAAATTGCAGCTCTTGTCCCTTTCAAATTACAGCTCATGTCCCTTTCAAATTGCAGCTATTGTCCCTTTCAAATTCTAGCTCTTGTCCCTTTCAAATTGCAACTCTTGTCCCTTTCAAATTCTAGCTCTTGTTCCTTTCAAATTGCAGCTCTTGTCCCTTTCAAATTGCAGCTCTTGTCCCTTTCAAATTGCAGCTCTTGTCCCTTTCAAATTCTAGCTCTTGTTCCTTTCAAATTGCAGCTCTTGTCCCTTTCAAATTGCAACTCTTGTCCCTTTCAAATTGCAGCTCTTGTCCCTTTCAAATTCTAGCTCTTGTCCCTTTCAAATTCTAGCTCTTGTCCCTTTCAAATTGCAGCTCTTGTCCCTTTCAAATTGCAACTCTTGTCCCTTTCAAATTACAGCTCTTGTCCCTTTCAAATTGCAACTCTTGTCCCTTTCAAATTCTAGCTCTTGTCCCTTTCAAATTGCAGCTCTTGTCCCTTTCAAATTGCAGCTCTTGTCCCTTTCAAATTGCAGCTCTTGTCCCTTTCAAATTACAGCTCTTGTCCCTTTCAAATTGCAACTCTTGTCCCTTTCAAATTCTAGCTCTTGTCCCTTTCAAATTGCAACTCTTGTCCCTTTCAAATTCTTGCTCTTGTCCCTTTCAAATTGCAGCTCTTGTCCCTTTACTGCGCGTATCAATTTGCTGGATATTCTCAGTGGAATATAGCCACTGACTGCAGTGGTTATATTCCACTGAATATAACCACTCACCGGAGTGGTTATATTCCACTGAATATAACCACTCACCGCAGTGGTTATATTCCACTGAATATAACCACCTGAATTAAGCAGGATATAGATTATTATACAGGGTGTTTTAAAATGATTGACTATATATCAAAGTAATATTGCTTTGAAATGGTTCCAATATTTTGAAACGTATTTACGGTGTCATACAGAGCTTAGGAAGTGGAATGATATTTGGGCTCTATAATGAAAGGGTAGGTAGCTTTATCTCCTTTTATTCAGAGAATCAATGCTCCCCAATGCTTATGTACAGATTATAATAATAATAATAATAATAATAATAATAATAATAATAATAATAATAATAATAATAATAATAATATTTATTTCTACAAGTACATGTACAAGGTATACAGACCATAGCTGACATCAATGACATACTACTATATAGAAAGCCACTTGTTATGCTGAGTATTTCCCACAAATTAATTCTTTGTCCCAGGATGCGACCCACACTAGTAGACTAACTCCTAGGTACCTATTTTACTAATGGGTGAACATAGACAATCGGTGTAAAGAAACACGACTAATGTTTCTACCCGCACTGGGAATCGAACGCGGACCCTCGCCGTGTGAAACGAGAGCTTTTGACTACCGCCCACAGGATGGACTGTGATGAATAAACGTATTAAACAACCTGGCCGCCGAAACGTCTTACCAAAATGATAAAAAAAGCAATATCTCATTTGCATTCTCAACTACAGAAATGTTTCGAAGGTAGAGACCTGATTTCAGACTTGGGACCTGATTTCCAACTTGGGACCTTGTTGTTAGATAAGACACATATGCAACAGTTAGGTATCTTTATTTCGAAACGTTTCGCCTACACAGTAGGCTTCTTCAGTCGAGTACAGAAAAGTTGATAGAAGCAGAAGAGACTTGAAGACGATGTAATCAGTCCATCTGACTGATTACATCGTCTTCAAGTATCTTCTGCTTCTATCAACTTTTCTGTACTTGACTGAAGAAGCCTACTGTATAGGCGAAACGTTTCGAAATAAAGATACCTAACTGTTGCATATGTGTCTTACCTAACAATCTGTCGGTATTTTATACCATTTTAATGTTGGGACCTTGTTACTTAGCGTGACCTGAAGTCCAAATTCTTTATTATTGTTTGTGAAAATGTTTAACAGTTAATTTCAGACAGAGTGATATAGAATGGAACTTACCTGTCACCTGTGTAGAGCGTGATGACACACTGTAGCTGCCTCTGTCTGTAGGATTGTACGTTCCTGTGATTGTTATTTTACATTCCAGTGAATGTAAAGCTGTACGTTTAAGTGAGTATATGAACGCAAGTTCCAGTTAGTGTTTCACTTTACGTACAGTTGACTGTATGTCATTTGCTACGGTCTTACATTTTGTAGCTAAGGACTCTACGGTCCAGTGATTCCGTTTCACTGACTGTACATCAGACTGTCAGACTGAGCATTGGAATGCGTATATACGGTACAACTTATCCTTAGTGTGGAGTCGCTAGGAGAGACGGAGGAAGCTATCGGTCGAAACGTCGATACGCAAGACGGAAGATGCCGTTAGACGGGACGTGACAGAGACGGAGGAGGCTGTTGGACGAGACGGCGGGATTGGCTTGGTTCCTCGTCAATCTCAGGGTTCGATACCGGGGCAATATTTCCGTGACTTTTACCGGAATTTGTGGGAGCAATAATTTCCAACGTTAGTGGTTGTGGCCGTCAGTCTGAGAGGCAACAAAGGTACCCTTTTTTTTTTTATTTCGATTGGATACTGTCAAGTTTCTCTGAGTTTATTCTTGAAAAAGGGCCTCAGCTGGAAGTCGAAATATACATCTAGTCTCTTTTACGTGTATAACTGTCGATATAATTGATTATCTCTCAGCATTGCTTCGAGACTACGATACTCTTCACTAACTCCGAGGTAGAGGGACTAATTACCTCATCTTTGGTACATAGTTCTACAGTCTTCCTATTATGACCTTGAATCTGTATTGATAAAGCCACTGGATGGGCGAAACGTCTACAAATAAAGATACCCAGATGCTGCACATGTGTAATTCTTCGCTACTTCGAGGTCAGCAGACAAATAGCTAAAACTTTCAGTTCGAAGTGACAAATAGGGTTGGGGATGTGTTAGCCAGTTCAAGGATGCTGTTGCTGTCAGTCACTTGATTAGGGTCGCCCCCCTTCCAGCCACTTACAAGACTCTTTACCAACCACGCACTTTCACACACGGACTATGTCCCGAAAAGTAAAGTTTAAGGAGAGTCAGTATTTGAGTCGCTCTCCTGAAGAATTTCTGATTGTCAGAATTTTCAAAATGCCTCACCTGTTGGGACGACGAGAATCCAATTCTGTTTTAGCACGACAAGACCAAGAATTTCATAAATTCTGTCATGGCAAGACAAGACCAAGAATTATATCAATTCCGTCATGGCACCAGACAAAGAATTAATAAATTCCATCTTGACACGACAAGACCAAGAATTACAAAAATTCCATCTTGACACGACAAGAACAAGAATTACATAAATTCCATCTTGATACCACAAGACCAAGAATTATATTTCGTGTCCTTCCAAGATCGTTATCACAATTCTCTTCAGATATCGCAGAATAAGTGTTATCGTAAGTCACTACTAAACTTTACCGACAGTAACTTTGTAGTAAGTCGCTTCTGTCCAGGTAATTAGGTGACTGTCTCGGGTGAGTGAGGACAGTAGGTGTGTGAGGGGACGTAGGAGGCTGGCTGGGTGAGGGGAGTCCTGGGGCAGAGCGCAACACCCCACCATCCACACTACCCGGAGTCCCGAGCTACACTGAGGGGAAACTGCCCTCACTACCCCTTACCCGAGATTACCTCCCCTTACTCCCTCCTCCTTCCATCACTTACCTTCCTTCACTCTCTCCTTCCCTTCCCTTCAATTCCCTTCTTTCTTCCTCCCCTCACCCTCCCTCACTATCCTTCCCTGACCCTCAATATCCACCCCTCACCCTCCCTCACTACCTTCCCTCACCCTCCCTTACATCCTTTCCCTCACCCTCACTATCCTCCCCTCACCCTCCTTCACTATCCTTCCCTCACCCTCCTCACTATCCTTCCCTCACCCCAAATATCCTTCCTCACCCTCACTATTCCCCCCCTCCCCCCTCCCCCCACACTATCCCCCCTCACCCTCATTCACTATCCTTCCCTCACCCTCACTATCCTCCCCTCACCCTCGCTATCCCTCCCCTCACCCACATTCACTATCCTTCCTTCACCCTCCCTCACTATCCTCCCTCACCCTCACTATCCTCCCCTCACCCACCCTCAATATCCTTCCCCCCACCCCTCCCCCAATATCCTCCCCTCACCCTCATTATCCTCTCCTAACCCTTCCTCACTATCCTCCCCTCAACTCCCCTCACTATCCTTCCCTCATCCTCACTATCCTCCCTCACCCTCACTATCCCCCTCAAACCCCCCCTCAATATCCTTCCCACAAACCCTCCCTCAATATCCTCCCCCCACCCTCATTATCCTCTCCTAACCCTTCCTCACTATCCTCCCCTCACTCTCCCTCACTATCCTTCCCTCATCCTCACTATCCTCCCCTCACCCTCACTATCCTCCCCTCACTCACCCTCACTATCCTTCCCTCACTCTCCCTCACTATCCTCCCCTCACTCTCCCTCACCATCCTCCCCTCATTCACCCCTCACTATCCTCCCCTCACTCTCCCTCCACTATTCCCCCCCTCACTCACAATCACTATCCTCCCCTCACTCACCCTCACTATCCTCCCCCACTCTCCCTCACTATCATCCACTCACTCTCACTATCCTCCCCTCACTCACGCTCACTATCCTCCCCTCACTCTCCCCCACTGTTTCCCCCCCCACTCACCCTCACTATCCTCCCCTCACTCTCACTATCCTCCCCTCACCCTCACTATCCTCCCCTCACTCACCCTCACTATCCTCCCTCACTCACCCTCATTTTTCCTCCCCTCACTCTCCCTCACTATCCTTCCTCTCACCTCACCATCCTCCCCCACACCCTCACTATCCTCCCCTCACTCACCCTCACTATCCCCCCTCACTCTCCTCACAATCCTCCCCTCACTCACCCTCACTATCCTCCCCTCCACTCTCCTTCACTATCCTCCACTCACCTCCCTCACTATCCTCCCCTCACTCTCCCTCACTATCCTCCCCTCACTCCCCCTCACTATATTCCCCCTCACACTCCCTCATTATCCTCCCCTCACACTCCCTCACCATCCTCCCCCCCACACTCCCTCACTATCCTCCCCTCACTCTCCCTCACTACCTCCCTCACTCTCCCTCACTATCCTCCCCTCACACTTTCCCCCACTATCCTCCCCTCACTCATCCTCGCTAAACCTCCCCTCACTCACCCTCACTATCCTCCCCTCACTCATACCCAATATCCTCCCCTCACTCTCCTTCACTATTCCTCCCCTTTACTCTCCCTAAAATATCCTCCCCCTACTCTCCCTCACTACCCTCCCCTCACTCTCCCCCACTATCCTCCCCTCACCCTCACTATCCTCCCCTCACTCACCCTCACTATCCCCCTCACTCTCCCCCACTTTCCCTCCCCTCACTCACCTTCACTATCCTCCCCTCACCCTCCAATATCCTCCCCTCACTCTCCCTCACTAACCCTCCCTAACTCTCCCTCACTATCCTCCTACCCTCACATCCTCCCCATACCCTCACTATCCTCCCTCACTCCCCTCACTACCCCCCTCACTCACCTCACATCCTCCATACCCTCACTATCCTCCATCACTCACTCACTTCCCATCACTACACCACATCCCCTAACTCACCCTCACTATCCTCCCATACCCTCACCATCCTCCATTACCCTCACTATCCTCCCTCACTCACCCTCACTATCCTCCCCTCACTCACCTCACACACTCCCATACCCTCACCATCATATCCCTCACAATCCTCCGGATATATTATATTCATTATCATAAACTATATAAGTTATAAATGTTGAAGAGGAACGTAGAGAGAGAAGCAGAAGAGAGAGCAGCCTGAGAAACCATGAAAGAAGATCCAAAGAGAACGTGCAGCAGAAGGAGGATTAGAAGTGAAGGAGCAAATCTAAGGATGAAGAAATTAAGTCAGAAGAGAGCAGTAGAGAAGCTGATATAAGTAGAAAAGGAAAGGAAGGAAGAGAAGAAGTAGAGAAGAGAAGGAAGCAGAAGAGAAGGAAGCAAAGAAGATGAAGAGAGGAAGCAGAAGAGAAGGAAGCAGAAGGAAGATAGGAAAGAGTAGAAGAAGAAGTAGAAAGAGGAAGCAGATGAGAAGAAGTAGAAGAGAAGGAAGTAGAAAGAAGGAAGAGAAGTAGTAGAAGTAGAAGGAAGTAAGAAGTGAAGCAGAAGGAAGGAAGCAGAGTAAGAGTAGAAGGAAGTAGAAGGAAGGAAGTAGAAGAGAAAGAAGAGAGAAGGAAGTAGAAGAGAAGGAAGTAGAAGAGAAGGAAGTGAAGTGCAAAGAGTAGAAGTAGAAGAGAAAAGTAGAAGATGAGAAGTAGAAGAGAAGGAAGTAGATAAGAGAGGAAGGAAGTAGAAGGAAGTAGAAGAGAAGGAAGTAGAAGTGAAGTAGAAGTGAGAAGTAGATGAGTAAAGGAAGGAAGTAGAAGTGAAGTAGAAGCGAAGGAAGTAGAAGTGAAGGAAGTAGAAGTGAAGTAGAAGTGAAGGAAGTAGAAGAGAAGTAGAGAGAAGGAAGTAGAAGGAAGGAAGTAGAAGGAAGGAAGTAGAAGTGAAAAGTAGAAGCGAAGAAGTAGAAGTGAGAATAGAAGTGAAGGGAAGTGAAGGAAGTGAAGTGAAGTAGAAGTGAAGGAAGTAGAGGAAGGAAGTAGAGGTGAAGTAGAAGGAAGGAAGTAAAGTGAAGTAGAAGTAAAGTGAAGTAGAGAGGAAGGAAGTAGAAGAGAAGGAAGTAGAAGGAAGGAAGTAGAAGAGAAGTAGAAGTAGAAGTAGAAAGGAAGACAGTAAGTGAAGGAAGTAGAGGTGAAGATAGAAGCAAGAAGTGAAGTAAAGATGTGAAGTGTAGAAGTGAAGAAGAAGAAGGAAAAGGAAAGTAGAAAGAGTAAGGTGAAGTAGAAGAAAGGAGATAGAAGTGAAGGAGTAGAAGAGAAGGAGTAGAAGAAAGTAGAAGTGAAGGAAGTAGAAGTGAAGTAAAAGTGAGGGAAATAGAAGAGAAGGAAGTAGAAGAGAAGTAAGTAGAGAGGAAGTAGGAAGTGAAGGAATTAGAAGTGAAGGAAAGTAGAAGAGAAGGAAGTAGAGATGAAGGAAGTAGAAGTGAAGTAGAAGAAAGGAAGAAGTAGAGAAGGAAGTAGAAATGAAATGAAGTGAAGGAAGTAGAAGTGAAGGAAGTAGAATGAAGGAAGTAGAAGGAAGGAAGTAGAGAGAAGGAAGTAGAAGTGAAATAGAAGAGAAGGAAGTAGGAAGAGAAGGAAGTAGAAGAGAAGGAAGTAAGAATGTGAAAGAAGTAGAAGAGAAGGAAGAAGAAGTGAAGTAAGTAAGAAGTGAATTAGAGAGAAGGAAGTAAGTAAAAGAAGGAAGTAGAAAGAAGGAAGTAGAAGAGAAGGAAGTAGAAGAAGAAGGAAGTAGAAGTGAAGTAAAGTGAAGAAGTAGAAGTGAAGTAAGAAGGTGAAGGAAGAAGAAGTGAAGGATGTAGAAGCAAGGAAGTAGAAGAGAAGGAAGTATGAAGAGAAGGAAGGAAGAGAAGGAGTAGAAGTGAAGGAATAGAAGAGAAGGAAGTAGAATGAAAAATAGAAGAGAAGGAAGTAGAAGAGAAGCAAGGTAGAAGAGAAGGAAGTAGAAGAAAAGGAAGTAGAAGAGAAGGAAGTAGAAGTGAAGGAAGTATAGTGAAGTATAAGTTAAAAAAGTAGAAGAGAAGGAAGTATAAGAGAAGGAAGTGAAGTGAGTAGAAGAGAAGGAAGTAGAAGTGAAGTAGAAGTGAAGGAAGTAGAATTGAAGGAAGTAGAATTGAAGGAAGTAGAATTGTAGGGTAGAAGAGAAGTAGAAGTGAAGGAAGTAGAAGTGAAGTAGAAGTGAAGATGTAGAAGTGAAGTAGAAGTGAAGAAGTAGAAGAGAAAAAAGTTGATAGAAGAATTGAAGAGAGGGAAGTAGAGGTTAAGGAAGTAGAAGTGAAGGAAGTAGAAGTGAAGGAAGTAGAAGAGAAGGAAGTAGAAGAAAAGGAAGTAGAAGTGAAGGAAGTAGAAGTGAAGGAAGTAGAAGAGAAGGAAGTAGAAGAAAAAGAGTAGAAGAGAAGGAAGTAGAAAAGAAGGAAATAGAAGTGAACGACGTAGAAGTGAAGCAAGTAGAAGTGAAGTAGAAAGTGAAGGAAGTAAAAGTGAAGTAAAAGTGAAGAAGTAGAAGAGACGGAAGTAGAAGTGAAGTAGAAGAGAAGGAAGTAGAAGTGAAGTAGAAGTGAAGGAAGTAGAAGTGAAGTAGAAGAGAAGGAAGTAGAAGTGAAGTAGAAGAGAAGGAAGTAGAAGTGAAGGAAGTAGAAGTGAAGGAAGTAGAAGTGAAAAAAAAAGAAGAAGAGAAGGAAATAGAAGAGAAGGAAGTAGAAGTGAAGAAGTAGAAGAGAAGGAAGTAGAAGAGAAGGAAGTTAAAGTGAAGGAATTAGAAGACAAGGAAGTAGAAGAGAAGGAATTAGAATTTAAGGAAGAAGAAGAAGGAAGTAGAAGAAAAGGAAGTAGAAGTGAAGTAGAAGTGGAGGAAGCAGAAGAGAAGAAAGTAGAAGAGAAGGAAGTAGAAGTGAAGTAGAAGTGAAGGAATTAGAAGAGAAGGAAGTAATAAAGAAGGAAGTAGAAGAGAAGGAATTAGAAGTGAAGTAGAAGTGAAG